AAATATTGGAAACCACCACCTTCAGCAGATGCCCTGTTGTTCTGTAGTCACCAAAGAACTGCACAAAATTTGGTCTCTAGAAAACTCCCAGAGCCGCGCAGAAAGGCTTGAGGGTACATTTTGTCGGCGGTTCCCAATCCTGCTTCCATCCAGGCTGCTGACATGAAAGACACACTGGGAGGAGAGTAGGATAGAGTCGCTTCAGCACAGCACTGGGGAGTCACGCCCCTCACGAACAGACGTCTTTAATGGCAACATAATTTTGGAGTTTATACACAAGGTCAAGCTCACTGGTACTCCAGATGTATCACATGACAGGTCAGAGGCTTCAGACAGGCGGATGCGTTTTTTGCTTTAGCAGATTTGGCCCGCTGAAGCTCGTTTTGTTCTTCCGAGAAGCTGCACATTGGTGGCACTGTTCCCTAAATTTTACTTGGTGAAACAATTCAGTTAGAATAGGCCCCAAGGAAGATTAAAAATTTTAATATATAGTAGGCTTAAAAAAATTTTTTTAAGTCCATTTAGAACTGCTAAATAAAGGGGGGGATAAACAGAGGAATAGTCTAAACAGTTCCGATACAGCTTTTGCCAAAAGCAGCAGAACCCTGATCTCAAACTTTTAGAACTAAAAAAGGACATCAGAGAGCTAGCTGACCCTCTCTGCACCTACCAGATGAGGAAGTGAGGCCCGAAGAAGTCACAAGGCCAGGAAGGACCCAGGCCCCCTGAAGGGTTGGGGAGCCTTCTTTCTGCCTCCGGGTGAACACAGGGCTGCGCTCTCCCAGGGGAGGTACCTGGGGCGGATTCCTCACTTCTTCCGGCTACCCTCTGGCACTCTCCTGGTCCTCATCCCTCCTGCAGAGAAGGCTCTGTTTCTATTCCAGCCTCTCTTTGTCAGGGTGGCCCAGCGTTTGTGGCTTCAGGGCACAGATCAGTGCATTACAGCATCTTCCATCACTTCTTCTTGGAGCCCGAAATTCCAGAGTGTGGCAAGCGGCAGCTGAGCTAATGCCCGCTCGCACCCCTCTGCCCACGTCCGCAAACGCGTACCACTGATGGCACAAAGACTGTTTGAATGCCAGTGCGTCTTTCCCTGTGGATCCTAAGAGGTCTCTGCCTCTCCTCTCCTCTGAATTTCTCCTCTTCACTAGTGAGTGCCTCTTTAAGGAGGGCTTTGATTCTGGGACAAAAGGCATCCTTTAAGAATGTGACATTCAGAGGCTGGGTAGGCGATCCTAGGACTCTGCTAGCAGAGGAGAAGACAGGTACGTACTGGGAAACAGACCACAGTTCTTTGGGTTTTTGTGAGGAAAGCTGTTTCCCTCCCTCCCTTCCTGAGAGAATGTGCGAGTGAAGAAATAAGAGCAGATTTCGTCTGAGGAACAGTGGTTCTTACGTGCCTGCCCCCCTCCCTTACCAACAGGTGCCTTCCTGATTGGCTGAGTCACTTGTATCATTACATAACAATTAGAGTCCAGCCTCCTTAACTCACACCCCGTTCACGTTTCCAAGTGATTGACCAGAAGTAAAATCTGTTGATAACACGATAAGCAGATGACAGTGAATTGATGAATATTGTGAGACTGCAGTATTTTTTGTGTGTGTTTGTGTTTTCCTCAGAAACACACAACTTTATAGTCTGCTTTGTTCCATTAGAAGCACTCTTCTGTTTTTACATAGTCTCTATAGAGTATATTTTTAATGACTGCAAGACAGGACACAGGGGGAAGCATACCTAATCCTTTCCCATTTGTATGTTTGGCGTACAGCCTCTTTTTCACTAGGAGACAATAGACACAAGTGTGTCTAAACAAGAAACCCAAAGTAACTTTGTTGAACTTGAATAGATAATGCTCAGTGGAGTATATCCTTCCCCTACTGTAAGAAAACAAGGAACAGGAGAAAGTAAGTTCTTAGGAGCCAGATTTTTTTTTTAAGTTTATTTATTTTGAGAGAGAAGGTGTGAGCAAGGGAGAGGCAGAGAGTCCCAAACAGGCCCCGCGCTGTCCGCTCAGCGTCTGACGCGGGGCTCGAACCCACAAACCGTGAGATCATGACCTGGGGCGAAATCAAGAGTCGGAAGCTCAACCGGCTGAGCCCCAGGCGCCGGATTGCTCGGCCCAGGGAGGTAGACCCACGCTTCCGTAGCTCTGGCAGCGTATTCGGCGGACTGCTTTCCGAAGCGGCTACGCCAATTTCTGAGGCACCTTGCTCTTTGACGTCACCGTCAGAGCATTCAGGCACACGGTAGAACAGGCCGCGTGTGATGGCGCCTCTTAAAATGCTCCTGTCTCTCTCTCGAAAACAGCAAAGCCATCCCAAGAACCCTAACGACAAACACCGGGGCAAGAAGTGCAAAGATCCCAAGCCACGGGTGAAGAAGCTCAAGTACCACCAGTACATCCCGCCCGACCAGAAGGGGGAGAAGAGCGAGCCCCAGATGGACTCCAACTACGCCCGCCTGCTCCAGCAGCAGCAGCTGTTCCTGCAGCTCCAGATCCTGAGCCAGCAGCAGCAGCACTACAACTACCAGACCATCCTGCCCGCGCCGCTCAAGTACGGGGCCGGGGGCGGCGCGGGCCACGTCCCTGGTTCCTAGGGGGTGGATGTCGTGGGGCGCTTGCGCTCAGCGATCGGTCTCACTGCCTGGTCCTCGAAGCCCGTCCCACGGCGTCTTGCCCTCGTGCCAGTGAGTCCAGGGTTTGTCCTCCAAGATAGGTTCCGAGCCTTGGCCTTTCACGGTAGCAGTGCCTCGTCACAATTACTTGCCCAGGAGAGATCTGCCTGTTGTTTGCCACGTAGTATTAGGCGCCACGAGAAAAGTGTAAGGAGCGAGAGTCTTGTTATAAACAGCCTAAAAAAGGCGGGGTGCGGGGGGATGAGTGTAGAAGCCGGAGTGGTCAAGGAAAGCTTTATGAAAGCAGGCAGGATACCTCTGTGGGAAAGAGCCCGAAACTTGGGCGGGGCCCTTTCACGCAAAGGAGAGTGACCCCCCCCGCCCCCCCCCATGCGAGAACAGAGGAAGGAGCGGGCCATGCCTGTTGATGGGATGACGGGGAGAATAGCCTGAATAAGGAATGGGATGAAAAGTAGAAGACAAAACTGAGTAGAGCCTCCGTCCAGAGGAATCTGAAGCCAGGCAGCCTTGAATCTTGACGTGGTAGGTGATTCAGAGGGCTGTAGTGGTGACGCCACAGTGCACGAAAGGACAGTGAGATGCTGGTCACGGAGGGGAGTCTGGCAGCAGGCAAGACAGACATTTCACAATAAAGGAGATGTGAGAAGATGAGGGCATTGATAAGGGGAAGGAAAGAACAGATGAGAGAGGTTTCCAAGACAGTTCAAGGTCTTGGTGACCAACAACTGTGGAGAAGGAACATGTTTCCAAAGTCTGAGCCCAGTTGAGAGAGACAGAAGGAAGTGACTTCTGACAGCTTCTGAGACTGAATCCACAGCAAGACATCCATAGTGAACTTTAATTATGTACAGAAGGAGATTTCTAGATCTCCATCCTCAGTATGCATTTTCCAGGAAACATGGGTAAAAATGAAAATACCTCGTCTCTCATTTCCCTCAGTTATCAGGAGAAAGGGACATTTACATTGGCCTCACAAGACAAACTGTACAAAAAGGTGCAAAGTTTATTCGAGTTGAAAGTTTTTCTCAGTGAGCAGGCCACTCAATTCATGATCCGTGTGGTGTGTGGAAATTCGACTCGGATATTCTCCGCATACGCTGAGCATTCCACCACAGGGAGCCCTGTTTCCTAGGAGCAGACAAGGAGTGAGATCCGCTAAAAAGCTCCTCTGTTAAGAACCGTGTCCTCATGTGCTAGTGATTATCAATGCACTTTTTTCTTTTAAGATCCTGATATCTCGAGGAAGATTAGACCTATTAGTCATTTGGACCTTACTGTGAAGTACGTAAATCTAAAACATCAGGGCACAGAGATGAAGAAAGAAAGAATTTTTGTAGCATGTTATTATTTTAAGAGCAAGCAGGCCTGAGTGAGATGTTGACATTGGAAGGGAACCAGGGAAGACCAAAGAGGATTGGAAGCGCATCAGACGCAGACCACCGCCGCTTTGCAGCTCCGTCCAGGCCCGAGGGAGGCGTCCTCCCCTGCCGCCTCCCTCCTCTGGCATCGGGCAGCAGGGACATGAGCGGTGACTGGCTCCCCTGTGCGCGCTCCTTACGATGCACCCAGCAGTGTGCTCGACGTTGACATCCCTGTGCCCCTCACCGTAACTCCAGGAGGAGGTGACGTTACTGACCGCACTCCCGGGTGAGGAAACCCGGACAACTGAAAATCCCATAAAAGGATTTTTGTAGTATCTATGAAACAGTCTTTTCTGTAATGAAAGAAATTGACTGTGTGGGGCCAGTTTGTAGATGGGAAGAGTACATCTGAGGAGCTGAGTATCTGGTCTCTAATGTTTCTTTGTCTTTCCACTAAGGCTGCCGGTCCCCTGTCCTCCACAAACACCCCCACCACCATAGCAGCCACGCCACCCAGCCCCGGAGAGCATCACACACAAAGATCCGGGGACACAGAGGGGGAAAGGTCACTTACTTTTGTGTATTATTGCACCACGCAAAGACTGAACGTCACTTCTGTTTCATTTCCGGGTCCTGACAGTGGAGGTGTTGTTTTCTAAAACAGTGTTTCTTTTCACCAAAATTCCAGTACAGGAAGCTGAATGCAGAAGTCTGTAGCTCCACAGCAGTGAGATTTGACCTGATAACACAGCCCCTGGTACCTTGGGAGATGGGGCTGTAGCCACACACTGACGGGGGCTCCTGGAGGGTCCTTTCAGGTGTCTGGACTTCAGGTTTCTCATCCACACAGACATCACATTTGTCAGGGTCCCCCCACAGCATGTTTTCTGTCTTTGTGGATCTGGACAAAAAAAATCTAGGTCCAACTTACTCTCGTTATTTCGAAGGTTGAAGCAAGCACTGAACTGTTAATCGTAGTAACAAGTAAAGCATTATAGAATCTCAACCAAACGCACCAATAGAATAATTTGTTGTTCACAAGGGAGCAGAAATTGGTTCGGGGGAGTGCTGCACTTGTGATTGAAGAGAGCACAGACACATATACGGTACGTAGGTGATTACACAGTACATCCCTGAGGGTATTAAGATTTCACTGGGAGGTCGATTAGGGAAAAAAAATTCGTAGAAAGTCTCCTTGTGGAGACAGTAATGAAAATAAGTAAGGTTGAGAAGTTCTGATTTACATAAAATGTTTTCATAATTCTAATAGATTTTAAAACTGGATTTTTAGAAAGGAAATAAATGATACATAAAATATTTGTCATTCCACCCAAATTTCAAGAAACTTCGTTGCAAACACTTATTTAACTTCCATAAAATTTAGGCAGGTTTTCAAAGACCCCAGATGAATGTCAAGAGTTAGCTGTTCACAGGGCCAGAAATGGCTTCAAACGCAATCTTCCAAAAACCCACTGGACAAAGCTCATCTAAGCAGGGACCTCTCCCCATAAGCAACATCAGGTCCCTGTTTCAGAACATGGAAGTCAGAGTCTCCATGCTTCAGCACCAAGACTCATGTAAGGATAAAGCATGAGGCTCTAATGGAATTGGCTGTACAGTGTCAACCACCCAGGGGAGGAAATGTCATTGTTGCCAAGAGTATCCTAGGGGGAAGAAGCTAGATGGGGACCTGGTTCTGCTGGGAAGATGAGTACAGAAATAAAACACATTTTTTAAATCACCTTTTTAAATGAAGTGTTAAGTGATAGAGAAGTCCATAAATCATAACTTAAAATCAATGCTAAGTAAACACACCTCCATAACCACACCTAGATCCAGAAATAGAATATCAGTACCCCAAGAAGCCCCCTGGCATCCCCCCTCAGTGACTACCTGACTTCTCTCCCATTGATTAGTTTTGCCTTTTTTTGAACATTATATAAATGCAGTCTTAACGGTATACATACGCACGTGAGTTCTTCTGCTCAACATTGTGTTCGTGAGATGCATCTTTACTGGTGCAGATAGAAGTAGTTAATTTTTATTCCTGTCTAGTATTTTATCATTTATCCACCCATCATCCTCTTGGTGGACAGTTGGGTTTCCGGTTGGGACTGTTATGAATAACGCCATACTAAGCTTTCTGACCTGTGTGTTTTGGTTCGTGTATGTAGATTTTTGTCAGGTGTCCCTCGAGGAATGGAATTGGGTCAGAGGCTAGGCACAGGTTTGTCTTTAGTAGATAACATAAAACACTTCTGCGAAGTGGTTGTACCAATTCACACTTCTCCCAGCCGTGATTGAGCGCTCTCGATGTTCCGAGTGCTTCGTATTGGCATCTTACTTGTTACAGCAGCGGTTCTGCTTGATGTGCAGTGCTGTTTTGTTGTGCCTTTTTCCATTTTCCTCGTGTCTGATGAGGTGTTAAGTCCTTGTTCACACGTTTAAGGACCGTTGGGATAGATTTTCTTGTGATATGCTTGTTCAGGATTTTCCCATTGCATTTTGTCTTTTTCTTACTGATTTGTGAGACTTTTTTTTGTATATTCTAGATATGATGCCTTGTCAGAAATACGTATTAGAGGGGCACCTGGGTGGCTCAGTCGGTTGAGTGTCCAAGTTCGGCCCAGGTCATGATCTTGCGGTTTGTGGTTTGAGCCCTACATCAGGCTCTGTGCTAACAACTCAGAGCCTGGAGCCTGCTTCAGATTCTGTGTCTCCTTCTCTTTCTGCTCCTTCCCCGCTCACACTCTGTCTCTCCCAAAAGTAAATAAATACTGAAAAGTTAAATAAAATAAAAAAATAAATATGTATTACAAGTACCTTCTCCTATGATTTGACTTTTCACTCTTAAAGCTGTCTCCCTTAGTGTGTTTTGTGTCCTGTTTAAGAAATCTTCCCCTACCCAAAGGCCATGAAGATATTATCCTAAGTTTTCTTTTCTTTTTTTTTTTTTTTTTTTTTTTTTTTTTTTTTTTTGAGAGAAAAAGAGCACAAGTCAGGGAGAGGCAGAGAGAGAGGGAGAGAGTGAGCCAGTGCAGAGCCTGACGCATGGCTCAAACCCACAAACCACCAGATCACAACCTGAGCTGAAGTCAGACATTCGACTAACCGAGCCACCCAGGCACCCTGAAATATTACCCTAAGTTTTCTAAAAGTTTACTGCTTTCATAATTCACGTTTAGGTTTCTGAGATGGTGTGAGGTGTAGGGGTCAGTTAAGGGCCTTATTTTTATCTGTGTGAATATCCAGGGTGGCCCAGCACCATTTATTGTAAGGACCACCCTCTTGCTAGTGCACTTCAGTGCCATCTTGGCGATAACTCAAGAGGCTCTATATGTGAGGGTCTGTTTCTGGATTCTCTGTTCTCTTCCATTTGTTGTTCTGCCCTTGTACCAGCACCACACCATCTTAATAACTGGCTTTATAATGAGTTTTGATAAGTGGTATGGCTCTTCCAGCTTTGCTTTCCTTCAGTGATGCCATGGCCATTCTTGGTCCTTTGTGTTTCCATATATAGCTCAGAATCACCTTCAGAATTTCTACCAAGCAAGCAAGCAAGCAAGCAAAACTTGCAGGGGGGGGTCTCATTTGATTGATATCTTTATACTCTTGAGTCTTCCAATCCACGACCATGATGATTTTCTCTTCACACATTAACAGTCAAGTCGTTAGCAGAAGCAGGATCAAATTCAGACATGATTTTATTATCAAGTCTAATTTTCTTTTCCTTTTGAAGGCCACTCAATGACAAAAATAACAACAGTGGAAATTCAGCTCTGAACAGCACCACGCCTAATACACCAAGACAGAATCCATCTGCTTCCGTGAGAAAGCCGGGGCCCCTGCCTTCTAGCCTGGATGACTTAAAGGTAATACTTCAAAGTAGAGTTTATTCACCCGTAATTACCACAAAAACAGAAATGATTGGCCACATTTGTCTGAGGTGTAGGTAAGTTTTCAATAGACCTTCAGCTTTACCAACAGTAAGATAACCTTTTCAGGGGTACTGTCTGTTTACGTCCATTAGGTTTCTTTGAAGACGATCAGTAATAACTCTGATTTGTTGAGCATAGACCATGTGTGGGCACCAGAACACTTGTGACCGCAGAGGGAGATTTTCTTCTTCCCCGCTCCTTGCTGAGTTGGGAAAAGCAGGAAAATGTTAACAGTCAAGAATCTCCTCTCCGAGGCCAGACTGCATAGGCTTCCTCCCTCAGCTCAGCTCCTGGTTATCCATGGTAGGTCAGACATAACGGTCTGCCTTTCACTGCCCCAATCTCCTCATCTGTGCACTAGGAATAATAATAATAACACCCACACCTCATGTGAAGATTAATTGAAAGAATAGGGGCATCTGAGTGGCTCAGTCACTTAAGCGTTCAGCTCTGGATCTCCCCTCAGGTCTTGATCTTAGGGTCGTGAGTTCGAGCCCCGAGTTGGGCTCTGCGCTGGGCATGGAGTCTGCTTTAAAAAAAAGAAAAGAAAAGAAGAGAAAAGACAAAGTATAAAGCACTTCCATCAGTGTGTGGCACGTGGTAATTACTCAATGAATGTGACTGTCCTCGTCACGATTTCTGATTGTAAATCCTCAGACAGAACAGGAATTACCCTCTAAAAGCCCTTGCTTTACCTCCAGCCTTCCCAGTGCCACAGGTCCGTAGCTGTGTGTGCGTCGGGAAGAGAAACCGTCCCCTTTGCCCATACATGGTAACGTGGAGCTGACAGGCGGTAGGCACCTTTTGCGTCTGGGCGTCCTGTAGATCTGTCGGGAGTTGCGGTACCGAGAGAAGAGACGTGATTTGTTTGTACTTGCAGGTGTCGGAACTGAAGACGGAGCTGAAGTTACGGGGTCTTCCGGTGTCGGGCACCAAACCGGACCTCATTGAACGCCTGAAGCCCTACCAGGAAGTGAACAGCAGCGCTGTTGCTGCCGGCGGCGTCCTGGCGGTGCCAGCGTCTGCCATCGTCGCCAGCAACCCAGAAGTCACCGTGGCACTGCCGGTGACAACGCTGCACAACTCCGTGACGAGCTCAGGCCCCTCTTTCAAGGCAGAGTTGCCGCCTGCCGGAAGCAGCAACGTCGCCCACGCCGAGAGCGTCAGCTCCCCCCTGCCCATCTCGCCTTCCCCCTCCGAGCAGTCCAGTCTCGGGACCGAGGACACAAGCATGGCAGACACGTTCACCGAGATCATGACCATGATGTCTCCCGCGCAGTTCCTGTGCTCGTCGCCGCTGAGAGTGACGGGCAGCGAGGACAGCCCGAGTCCCGCCAGCAGCACGCTGTCGAGTCTGGAACTGGACGCGGCCGAGAAGGACCGCAAGCTGCAGGAGAAAGAGAAGCAGATCGAGGAGCTAAAGAGGAAACTGGAACAGGAACAGAAGCTCGTGGAAGTTCTGAAAATGCAGCTTGAGGTTGAAAAGCGAGGGCAGCGGCAGCAGCAGCCGCCGCTGGAACCCCAGCCCGGTGCCGCGGCCAGCTCTGCCGGCAAGTTAGATCCGAAGCATGGCGGCGTGGGCTCCCCCGTCAAGGACGAGACCGCGCTGCCCGACTGCTCCAGCCCCAGGCGGCCTGGCCCGCTGGCCAGCCATCCTGTGGGCCAGCCTGTCTCGGCGGGTGGCCAGACCCTGGTTGCCAAAAAGGCCGTAGTGATCAAGCAGGAGGTCCCCGTGGCCCAGGCCGAGCAACAGAGCGTCATCCCACAGTTTTACGTGAGTTCCCAGGGACAGCCGCCGCCTGCTGTTGTCGCTCAGCCTCAGGCTTTACTGACCACACAAACCGCTCAGCTGCTGCTGCCGCTGTCCATCCAGGGCTCCAATGTCACCTCAGTGCAACTCCCAGTAGGCAGCCTCAGACTCCAGGTGTGAAGTGTGTCTTCTAACTCCTTTGCCTTACAGCCTGCATGGAACGGAAACTTGCCTTATGGCGAGCGCCCCAGCCTTCTCATACATGCACCCCAGCCGGGCCTCAGAGGTGCAGAAAATGTGTGTGTGGGGGGCGGGGGCCTGGAATTTAATTCAGAAATGTTAATAGCTAGCATTGTCTCCACATAGTTAAAACAAGCAAGCGGTGCTTTCCTGCTTTTGATCGCTTTTATCTTTAGTGAACACGGTATCGTTAGCGAACGTGCAGACATTTTGAGGTACCGGTTACAGTATGGTGAGAATAGCTGGTGTCGCTGAGTGCTTTTTGTGTGCAAGGCACAGGATCACGTACTTTATTTTCTTATTTATTTAAGTCATCTCTACACCCAGTATGGGGCTCCAACTCACGGCCCCGAGATCGAGAGTCACATGCTCCACTGTGTATTTTTTTTTTTTTTTAATTTTTTTTTTTCAACGTTTATTTATTTTTGGGACAGAGAGAGACAGAGCATGAACGGGGGAGGGGCAGAGAGAGAGGGAGACACAGAATCGGAAACAGGCTCCAGGCTCTGAGCCATCAGCCCAGAGCCCGACGTGGGGCTCGAACTCGGGGACCGCGAGATCGTGACCTGGCTGAAGTCGGACGCTTAACCGACTGCGCCACCCAGGCGCCCCTCCTCCGTGTATTTTAAATGGCTCACTCCCTTCAGCTCTCCCTTCCCCCCCAGAAGATCTAAGTGATGGCACCCATTTTGAGGTAGAGAAACTGAGGCCTTGAAACGTTGGGTAAGTTGCTCTAGGACAGAGCCAGGTTTTCTAACTGCCCGGCCTTTACTTTTATGCCCACTCGTGTGTTCTGCCTCCTAAACGTGGTTCTCGAAAGACACCATTGAAGTCAAGATGCCTGAGGCATGTGGGGCATCTGAGGAAAATGTGACCACAAACTTAGGAGTGAAGGTGTTGAGGGAGTTGATAAACCACTGGTAAGCACGAAACCTCCTTTTATGCCTCCTCCATAACCTGTGTATTAACCTTGTTTTTATGCAGTGCATTTGGTAGGTTTTCACACAGTGGGTGGGTGACAGGTGAACAGAAACTACCTGGGACAGTGCTCCTCAGCTTTGACCACCACCCCCCCCACCCACATACTCTTCATGGCAGAGACCAGTGGGTTGTGCCCCTGAGGTTAGGAAGCATGACCCAGAGGCCCTTGGCATGTGCAAGCATTCTAATTCTCCTGTTTGACCTTTAGACTGTCTGTGAAATTCAAAGTCTACTCTGTGACACAGCTTTTCTAAACATGTATTTTTCCACCCAAATCTTCCATTAGAGTTGACATTCTCCATTCTGGGCCCGTGTGTGCCCCAGCACATAGCTGACTGTCTCCAGAGGGAGCACATACTATTTGGGCAGTTAGGCCTCAGATTTTCTTGCTGCTGTTAAAATTATTGTCACGCCTGGCCTGTTGTGTGTAGAGCCACTATAGGTTTTTATTTCAGTTTTCCGTTTTCTCAAAATTTCCCAATGAAAATCTTAGCCACTTAAGAAATAATAAGAGCGTGAAAAAAACTGGTCTGGTGTTAGGTCTCTGGTTTAAAATTAAGGTTCAAACTGTGTTGTCGATGAAGCGTGTATCTATCTGTAAGTATTTTATCACTTCATTTCAGATATGTTCCCCACATGATCGCATGTTGCACATGTAAACTCTGTTTTTTGTTTTCAGTTTATGTATGTATTTTTTAAGTAACCTCTACGCCCAAACTCAACCCAAACTTTGCGGCTCCCACTCACAAGCCCGAGATCCAGAGTCCCATGCTCTTCTGACCGAACCATCCAGGTGCCCCCACACCTACACTCTTGATTCCGAGTTTGATTTTGATAATTAAATCAATATTTTGTTTGCTTCCTAGACCCCACCACAAGCAGGAATCCAGACTCAGACTCAGCCGCAGACAGCAGCCACCACCCTGTCCTCAGGCTTAGCCCAGACCGTACCTCAGAAGCAAGAAGCTTTCACGCCACATGTGCTCAGTCAGCCTCAGCAAGTTAGAAAGGTTGGTGAATGCTAACGAGTGACAGGCCGTCGCCGATGGTGACTGTCATCTGCTCAGCCATTCTGCAAGTGTCCTCATAGCGGTCTCTTCCGTGGGAAGCACCTCCCACTGGATGGGCCTCAGGCCACCTGCCATCCGGCTGCAGATTATGCAGTTATTAGGGAAAAAGGGTTCTTTTTTACTGAAAGACCGGTCATCTTAATAGTTAAGCCCTTTTTCAAGTAAAAGTTTCAAAAGTTTGTTTTTAATCCTCATGTAGGATTTTTTGAGTTCTAAAATAAATTTCTTTTCAAATTAATCATCTTGTGGGGGAGGGGGAAGTGCTGTTCCCTGGGAAGAAATAGTTGAAGTCGAAAAAGATACTTTTTCAGTGTCTACCTTGAATAAGATCTTTATATATTTAAGAGTTTGCCATCTTGCGGGCTAAGAGCCAGAGGGCCCAGGTGTGCGGATTCTGGTTCCCCACTTCCTACAGGTTTGGCCTTATGCAAAATTCACTTACTTCCTCTGAGTGTCATTTTCCTCATCTTTCAGATGACCGTGTTGGTCTAGGACTCAGTAACCCCTCCATGTGTTCCTACCAAAAAATTGTGATGTTGAATAGCCCAGAAGTTACAAAAATTCCCTCTTACCCAGCAGGTGGAGCTGTGTGCACATCTCCTTGACAGAAAACTCTTAAGGCCTCAAAAATACGTCTTATTATTTTTAACCTTGAGAATTATTAGTCCCAGAATGTTAATCTTCAACATAAAAGAACTTGGATAATTAGGTGTACCTGTAGACATGCCCCAAGGTAGCGTGAACCGTCTGGGCTAAGATCACTTGAGCAGCAGACCGAAATTGACGCCTGAGGTCATCAGTAGTCACATTATCATGTGCTCTCTTCTGGAATCTCCTCTGGGAAATGCAGTGAGTTACAGCAGCATATTACTGACTTTGGGCTCACAATAACATTCTAGGGTGGTGATCGCCTCAGTGAACATTCCAATGTTAAGACAGTTTTCTTTAAGAGAAGAGAGAGAAAAACAGGATATAGACAGGAGAAATAAGGGTTTATTCACTAAGTCTCAATACTAGAATTAGGGATCATTAATTCCAGCTTTTTCAAAGAGGAATATGCTTCCAGAACTCCTCGCCCAGAGCAGCTGTACCTTTTGAAGGGGTGGGTACACACACACACACACACGCACGCACATATACTTGCCCACTTAAGAAATACATATGTATGTTTACAATAGAAACGCAGAGGTAAGTTTTTCTCTTTCAGAATACTAGTGGTATAAAGTACATAAAATATTTTTATGAGTAAATCAGCTCTGTGAAATACAATCACAAAATCACACAGTGACCATACATTTGTAAAAGGCCATAAGACCTTTGGCTCGTGATGGGGGCTAAACAGACACTTGTTAGTTCCACAGGAGGGAGTCCTCACCGCTCCCTGACAGAGCAGAGGCCAGCTTCTCAGAAGGGGGCAGATTTTAAATGGGGCCCTGCAAGGATTTTGAGACACTTTCAACAAACTGAAAACCTGAGTGTGGCCGCAGCCTGTGTGGCCTTTCCGGTCGGACAGAAATGGGGCCGGGTGGTGGAAGCTTTTTGTGCCAGCCAGAGAGGAGGGTTTTACCGTAAGGACAGAGGAGCCAGGGATTGTGGGGGCTCCATCAGGTGTGTGCTGAGGCTGTAACTGTAGCAGAGGGTCGACAGGGAGGGAGGCACAGTGAAGAGGATGCCATGGTACTCCCGTGATCAGGAGCAAGGACCTGGATTAGGACAGCGGAGGACAGAGGCCTGATTCAGGAGGCATTCGTAAGGCGTGTGAGCACTGAAGGGAGACAGCAGAGGAGACTGATGGCTCCGTTTACCAAAGTTTTAAAAATAAATGAAGGGAAAACCAAGAATTACTTTTCCTCCGAGGCTGGTGGTGGTGGAAGGAAAGGGGAAAGTTTCGTTTGGAATATATTACATTTGAGATGTCCTGAATTTATGTTTGTAAATAAAGGTTATAAATGTGGCTTTGGCACTTGGAAGCAAGGGTGGAAAAGATGTGGGTTTGGGGATTATTAGCTTAATCGTGGACATGAAAGCTGTGAAAGTAGATGAGACCACCCTGGTGAGGATTATGAGAAATTCAGCTATCGCCTAAGACAGAAATCATACTGAGCAAGCGCTGATTTCCCAGAAGGTACAGTCCACACCGCCATCAAAGACAGGCCACTGAGTAAAGGGACCACGGATGCTGGAAAATCGGGGTCAGCAGACCACGGCCTGAGGGCCACCTCCAGCGCCCCACCTGCTTCTGTAGATAAAGTTATTGGAAGCCAGCCCCACCCATTGATTTATGCGTTGTCCAAACTGCTTCTGGGCCATAGTGGCAGAGGTGAACAGTTCCAACAGACACCCCGTGGCCTGCAGACCCTAAGCTGCACACGTGGTGGCTCCTTACAGGGCAAGTCTGCCGAGCCTCGTCCTAAAACATGGTTTTCTTCGGTAGGAAGAGCCAAAGAACAGATTGAATGGAAAATATTTGTCCGTTACAGGTTTTCACGAACTCGGCATCAAATTCAGTTCTTCCGTATGAGAGACCACCTGCTCCAGCGGTCCAGCAGCCCTTTGTGAACAAGACCTCCACCAGTGTTCTTCAGTCCAGAAGCGCACCACTTGCCTCCCTGCAGAATGGACCTACCGCTTCCAACAAGGTAGTGCTGTGCGGACGGGGCAGCAGTAACAGTGCTTGCTCATGGGGCCCTAAAGCATTGCAGAACCCAGTGCTTCGGGCGTGGAGGGACTGAGTATCAATATTAATGGGACAAAATAGCCAAAGACCGTGGTGACGGTTGTTAAGGGGCAGCTTGGCTGTTATCGCGGAACAGATGACCCTTCCCTCACAGGATGGTGCCCCGGTGCCATCGGCCACACAGGCTGGAGGTGAGAAGGCTCCTGAGTTCAGGAGCGCCGTGACTCGGCCACTCTCTGAGCTCACTGCCCAGACCTGACATGTGCCCCCCTCTTTTTGCCTCAGCCTAGTTCGCCCCCTCCACCCCAGCAGTGCGTCGTCCAGCACTCCCTGTTTGGGAGCCCGGTCCCCAAGACAAAAGACCCTCCCCGCTACGAGGAGGCCATCAAGCAGACACGTGGTGCCCCGTCCTCCCTTCCAGAGGTAAGTAAGCGAGACCAGCAGCCACGGTCTGTGGGCTTGTATCTGGGGTGTCGTCTTCACACTGAATCCCTTGTTTAAAACGCGCTTGCCTCTGTACGAACACAAATTTCAGAGCCAAGAACCTCATTTGCATTTGAAATGCTATTTTTTTTTTAATTGAAGTATACTTGACATACAATATTATAGTGGCTTCAGGTGTTCGACAGTCATTTGACACTTCTATACGTTATGAAATGTTACCCAGGTAAGTGCAGTTACCATCTGTCACCATACAGTGTTATTATGAGATCACAGACTGTGTCCCCTGTGCCATACTGTACATCCCTGTGACTTGTTCTGTACCTGGAGATTCGTACTGTTAATAACCTCCACTTACTGTACCCATCCCCCCGCCCCATCTCCCCTCTGGCAGCCACCAGTGTGTTTGGATTTATGAGTGTTTCTGTTTTGTTTGTTCATTTATTCTGTTCTTTAGATTCCACAGAGAAGTGAAATCATTTGGTATCTGCTTTTCTCTGTCCAACTTCTTTCACTTCACATAAACCCCTCGTAGTCCATCCCTGCTGTCACAAATAGGAAAAATACTTTCTGTAGTTTGTTTTTAATGTTTTATTTTTGAGAGACAGAGAGAGACTGAGCATGAGCAGGGGAGAGGCCAAGAGAGAGAGAGAGAAAGAATCGGAAGCAGGCTCTTGGCTCTGAGCTGTCAGCACAGAGCCCGATGTGGGGCTTGAACTCACAAGCTATGAGATCATCGCCTGAACCAAAGTTGGACACTTAACAGACTGAGCCACCCAGGCGCCCCAGAAAAATACTCTTTTTTTATAGCTGAGTAATAATCCTCTGTGTGTGTGTGTGTCACATCTTTTTTACCCAGTCATCTATCCACGGACACTTAGGTTGCTTCCATATTTGGCTAGTGTAAGTCATGCTGCAATAAACATAAGGGTACAGATATCTTTTCAAATTAATGGTTTTTGCTTTCTTTGGAAAAATACCCAGAAGTGGAATTGCTGCATCATAGGGTAGTTCTATTTTTTAATTTTTTGAGGAATCTCCATACTGTTTTTCACAGTGGCTGCACCAGTTTGCATTCCCACCAGTAGTGAAAGAGGGTCCCCTTTTCTCCACATTCTTCCCAACACTTGTTACTTCTTGTCTTTTTGAGAGTGGCCATCCTGAACTGGTGTAAGTTGTTATCTCGTGGTTTTGATTTGCATTTCCCTGATGACTCTTTTCTATGTTGGCCATCTGGATGTCTTCTTTGGAAAAATGTGTATTCTGCTATTTGGGGGTGGAGGGATGGAATGTTCTGTGTATATCTATTAAGTCTGTCTGGTCTGATGCATCATTCAGAGCCATGATTTCCTTACTGATTTTCTGCCTGGATGATCTATTCATTGATGTTAGTGAGGTGTTAAAATTCCCTACTATTATTGTATTACTGACAATTTTCCCCTTTTAGTCCATTAATATTTACTGTATCTGGAAAATATAGGGCCTCTTGTGTTGGGTGCATGGGTATTTACAGTTGTTATGTCCTCTTTTTGGATTGATCGCTTTAACATTATGCGGTGCCCTTCTTTGTCTCATTACAGCCTTTACTTTAAAGTCTGTTTTTGTCTGTTGTCAATTTTTAAATATTTGCTACCTTGGCTTTTTTGCTTCCATTTGTATGGAATATCTTCTCCTATCCCTTCACTTTAAGTCTGTATATGTCTTTAGGTCTGAAGTGAGTCTCTTATAGGCAGCACATAGATAGCTCTTGGGTTTTTTTGTATCCATTAGGTAACCCTGTGTCTTTTGACTGGACCATTTAGTCTGTTTATATTTAAAATGAAAGGTGTGTACTTATTGGTGTTTTTTGTTTTCTGGTTGTTTTCAGAGTTCCTCTCATAGCTCTTCTCTTGCTTTCTTTGTGATTAGATGACTTTCTTTGATATTGTGCTTGGATTCCTTTCTCTTTATTTGTTGTGTGTCTTTTACAGGTTTTTGATTTGTGGTTACCTTGAGGTTCATAAATAACATCCTAGGTATATAGTATTCTAAGTTGGCAGTTTGCTTAAGTCCAACACATTCTGAAAGTACTACATTTTTATTCCCCCTTTTATGTATATAATGTCATAGTTTACATTTTTTTAATTTTGTGAATCCCTTAAGTAGTTATTGTAGATACAGTTGATTTTACTTGTCTTTCAACCCTCATACTAGTTTTATAAGTGAATGATCTACTATCTTTAACTGTTTTACCAGTGAAACTTCTTCCTTTCATAATTTTCTTACTTCTAGTTAAGGCCTTTTCTTTTCTGCTTCAGGAAGTTCCTTTAACATTTCTTGTAAGGCCAGTTCAGTGGTGATGCACTCCTTTGACTTTTTTTGGCCTGGGCAACTCTTTATAAATTTCCCTCAATTCTGAATGCTGAGTAGAGTGTTCTTCGTTGTAGATTTTTTTTTCCTTTCACCACTTTGTATATATTACACTGCTACCTTCTGTGAAGGTTTCTCCTGAGAAATCAGTGTATAGCTTCATGGTGTTTCCTTTATATGTAATTAGTTGCCTTTCTCTGTATCTTTAATTTTTGACGTTTTATTTATTATTTTTTCCAACGTTTATTTATTTTTGGAACAGAGAGAGACAGAGCATGAACGGGGGAGGGGCAGAGAGAGAGGGAGACACAGAATCGGAAACAGGCTCCAGGCTCTGAGCCATCAGCCCAGAGCCCGACGCGGGGCTCGAACTCACGGACCGCGAGATCATGACCTGGCTGAAGTCGGTCGCTTAACCGACTGCGCCACCTAGGCGCCCCAATTTTTGACATGTTTTAAATGTGTACTTACTTTTGAGAGAGAGAGAGAGAGAGTGAGAGCAGGGGAGGGACAGAATCTGAAACAGGCTCCAGGCTCTGAGCTCTCAGCACAGAGCCTGATGCGGGGATTGAACCCACAAACCATGAGATCATGACCTGAGCTGAGGTCCTACACTTAACGACTGAGCCATGCAGGCACCCCTAAGTTTTGACATTTTAGTTATTATGTGGACTTCCTTAGGTTCATCTTGTTTGGAACCCTCCACCTACCTGTACCTGGCTATCTGTTTCCTTCTCCAGGTTAGAGAAATTTTCACCTATTTTTTCTTCAAAAAAGTTTTCTGGCCCTTTTTTTTCTCTCTTCTCCTTCAAGGAATTTATAATGCAAATGTCAGTATAGTTGTTGACCCAGAGGTCTCTTAACCTAACCTCATTTTTTTTTCTATTCTTCTTTTTGCTATTCAGTTTGGATGATTTCCACAGCACTGTCTTCCAGATAACTCACCTGTTCTTCTGCGTCCTCATCTGCTGCTGATTCCCTCTTGTGTATTTTTCAGTTCTGTTATTTTGTTCTTCAGCTTTGACTGGTTCTTTTTTTATATTTTCTGTTTCTTTGTTGAAGTTCTGAGTTCATCCATTCTTCTCTCAGATCCAGTGAACATCTTTTATGACCATTACTTTGAATTCTTTGTCAGGTAGATTGCTTATCTCCGTTTCATGTAGTCCTTTTTCTGAGGTTTTATGTTGTTCTTTCATTTGGAACATATTACTCTGTCTCCTCATTTTGTCTGACTCTGTGTTTGTTTCTATGTATTAGGTAGCTTGGCTCCATCTGGTCTTAAAAGTGGTGGCTTTGTGTAGAAGGCGTCCCTTACGGCCCAGTGACACAATCCAATCAGGTGATGCTCACCAGAACCATGCACTCGAGGGTGATGTCTGTGTGGGCTGTTGTGACTGGGCCAAGACTTCTGTGGGTACGCTGGTGGGCAGGGCTGGCCCCACCCTTCTACAGAACAAGCTGCCCACTTGGTGGGGCAGGGCAAGCGTCGTTAGCAAGACTGATGGACAGTGTCAGAGCTGGCTCCCACCAGTATTTACATTCATAGACAAATATCCCACAGATCTGTGCTCTTCCAGCACATGCCCTAAAAAGTAAATCTCCTTCGCATATACCCCAGACGCTTTCCAAACTGCTACTTCTGTGCTGGGTCTTAGACTAAGTGATATAATGCACTGGCCCTTTAAAAGCAGAATCTCAGTTCCCTATAGCTTTCTGGCTCCTGCCCCACTGATTTTCAAAGCCAAAGATTATGGGGGTTCATGTCCCCACTGGAGATCCCCAAGGTTGGGGGTGCCCACTGTGCGGCTTAATCTCACTCCCACTTATGGGTGATAGGGATCACAGTGCCTCGGATTTGGTTTCTGACCACACCCCACCCCTCCTTCCCTTCTCCATGTGGCTTTCTTTTTATCTTTAGCTGTGGGAGAGGTTCTGTTAGTCTTCAGGTCATTTTCAGAGGGAGTTTCACTATATTTAGTTACACACTTCATGTGTCCATGGGAAGTGAGCTCAGGATCCACCTACTCTGCCATTTCCCATGCTTCTCCTTTAAATCTACTTTAAATCAAAATACCACTCACTGTGAAGACTGCCAAACAATTTCAGCAGCTGTGTAACCTGCAATTCCTACTTACTCACAAATTCAGGGTTTGTCTTTTAACTTCTCCTTGGGGGTGGGTCATGTTAAGGATAGATGTGATGGTAGCCAGGGCATGTATTTTATACACGTTTCTCTTTTCTTCTCTTCTTATTTTTTTAAAGCCAAGTATAATTAACATATAGGTGTACAATATAGTGATCCAGTAAACCAGGTTCTCTGGTTGCTTTTTTTTTAAATTTACATCCATGTTAGTTAGCTTATAGTGCAATTTACGAGTCTAGTTGTTGTGTTTTTCTTTTTTAATTTACATCCAAGTTACATTTACATCCAGTTAGCATATGGTGCAATAATGATTTCAGGAGTAGAATCCAATGATTTATCCCCTACATGTTAATAACACCCAGTGCTCATCCCAGCAAGTGTCCTCCTTAATGCCCCTTGCTCATTTAGCCCATCCCCCCCAACACCTCCAGCAACCCTCAGTTTGTTCTCTTTATTTAGGAGTATTATGTTTTGTCCCCCTCCCTGTTTT